TATCCATTTTCTACAGATGCCCATAACACATTTTCTGTGTCTTGCTCTTAGTGCCCAGCTTAGGCAAATATAACCTGCTAGCAACGAAGAAACAAGGGAAGAGCTTCATCTCACATGGCTTTGGATAGCTTTGTCTGAGTAATCCAGACACTTTTCATAGCTGAGCTAGAGAAAAAGGTCTTCTAGAATGCAATCCATCCGATGTGGGGATGGACTTCTAAAACAGGTCTGAAATATGATTCTGGGGGACTGCCCTTTTCTCCTCATTGACATATAGACAGCTCAGATGTGGACATCACAGAATGGCTTGGGTTGGAAGAGCCTTTTAAAGATCATCTTGTCCAACCTCCAGTGCTATAGACATCCGATATTAGATGACATCTAATCAATTTGTAGCATCCTAAAGACTTGTTAATATATTACAGTGTTCACAATTTTCCTGAGCCATCTATTTTCAATACATGAAGAGAAAGAGGTCTCAATCTGTTGCTATTTTTGCTTGTTTGGTTGTTTTTTCCCGTGTATAAATTGTTGTTTTATTCACGTTGTTGTGTTATTTAGTATTTCATGTCCCTATGGACACATATATGATTAGACATTTTAGCCATTGCTCCTGTTTAATGTGTTTAGTACCATTTACTTTTCTTCATCCTGCAGTTAAAAGCAAATAATGTGAACATGAGAAATGATGAGGGGATAGTTACAGTAACATTGATGGATTTTTGGTTGAGCTTTTATTTCTCTGTTGAATGTCCTGCATTGACCAAAGGAAACAATGTAAGACTCCCTCCTGTATTTTTTCCTCTTACTAAACTGTAGTTCAGCATTGGATTTTTTGACGGTATCCAAAAAAGGGAAGTAATTCTCTTACATTTCAATGTAACTGATCCAGGCTAGAAAAGAAGACTGCTGAAACTGCCAAAAAAGGAAATACTTGTTTTTGTATTCTTATTGTGTGCTTTCGCTTCTTTAATTCCTGTATAAAATCCCAGCAGGATTTATGAGGCAAAGATCATTGAAGCTTTAGCATCAATGGCATATAAGTTTCCAATTTAACCTAAAGTCTCTCTTAATAAGACTTTATTATTATATATAAGAATCCTGCACAACATGGAGGGCCAAGGGCCTGCCAAACTGCCATACTCCTCCTGAGATCATCTGTGCAGAGAAAAGTTGTGTCAGACTTTGTGCAAGGGCACAAAAACTGGATGGTACTACTCAGTCCTAATTCAATGGCTTGTAGTCCTACAGCTTTGTCTGAGTCAGGTCTGTATCAAAATAGAAAGTAGACTTAGGTATATGACTGTTTATCATGCTTTGTGAAATCAGCTGTGCCTCTATTAAAAATAAATTAACTATTTAGTAAATCCCATTCTTTTACTCACTGTACACTTTTAGGACACACCTGCTTCTTCCATTAATATTAAAAATTGGCGAGGTGTTTGCATGGGTGACTAATTCATACACTAGAAATGTAGGCCTGCTGATCACGTCTAAGCAAGCAGTAGCCTGGGTAGAGAATGTTTCACAGATGCTTCCCACAAATGTTAGGCCTTTTGATCTATCGCAGTTGGACTAGATGATCGCTGTTGGCCCCTTCCAACTCAATTATTCTATTCTATTCTATTCTATTCTATTCTATTCTATTCTATTCTATTCTATTCTATTCTATTCTAATGTAGCAAGCCATCAGCAGCTGCAGAGTGAGCAAGGGACTAGGACAGGATCAAACTGGCAGTAAGGACAGCCACAACTTTTTGGACGATGAATACAGAGGAGTATCCATAGAAGGCAGGGAAGAAATCATACATGGTATGTACATATAGTGTATAAAAATTACATAGCTCTTGCACAGAGCTCATGGCTGAGCTGGAAAGACATTTTCTAGGGACTCCTGATCTTATGCACTTGTATTCCGCTTACTCAAATCTATAGCCACATCTGACATATCACAAGCAGGATCATAAAAATGCTTTTAAATTGTTCTCTTTTATTTCAAAATGAAAATAGAGAAATACCTCTTAATTATGTTACTTTACCTTCAGTACATCACAAGCCTTAAGAATTATGGCCCAATCTCCTTGCTGAAGAGGCTTTTTTTGAGAATTTGTTTTTATAATTACTGCTACCAGCATACCATATGGTAGATTAATACCATGCTTTCAGAGTGGAGTAAGTATTTCCTAGAGAGGGAAACTAAGGCATAGAGAGGTTCTCCTTGGACTTTACAAAAAATCAGATTCAGAGGCAGAACTAGAGCAAAGAGTTTCCATCTCCCCTCTGTGGGAGTTTCTCATCATGAGAAACTATGGTGGAAAGAAAGTGGTACTTGAGAGCAAGAAACTGCTTTCCAAGAATAATTCTTTCCTTATGCTACATAAATAATGGTAACAGCCCCCACATTAGTTCATGTTACAGGACAGAAGAAAATGTACCTCGCTTCAGACTGCAATTGAAATGAAGGTTTTGTTTTTGTCAACCTCCTGTTAGAATTTATAACTGCACCTAACAGCTTCAGGAGAGCTTTTGTGATTTATGTTTTTTAAGAAGGATCATTCCAGAAAGCTCTCAAGGTTTACTATTTCTTTAAGCACTGAATTAGCCTCCTTAGTGGAGCCGAAGATTTATTTCTACCTTTGAGCCACAGTGTCATTTTCCTTTCCCAAGCATTCGCAGCTGTTTAAGTGCCTGCTAATACAAGACATTTCAGCCTCTACATTTTTTGTATGTTTAGAGTTTTCATCCTTTGAGTGATTCTCCCTTGCTGAATGCTGAATATCTATGCCTGTTGCTGATGTCTTATGTGGGAAAACCTGGGCGTCAGACAAGCCACCGAGATGCACACTTTTACCTGGGAAAGTCTGAGCTCAGAGATGGGCTCTGGAGGGGATGGGAATACTTCCTTCCCAATCTTCAGTGAACACAGAGACACCTGAGTATCCATGCCACAGGCTTGGAAGTCCACTGGGTCCTTACAATACCTTTTCTGCTTTAAAGCTCTGGATTAGTGCCGGTTAGGGACAAACCTACCATGTATGTTCTGAGTACTGCAGAGATCTCGTGTAACAGCATTGAGTCTGCCCAGTAAATGACACTTTTTGATTCTTTTCAAGTTCTGTCCATATTTCGCAAGTCTCCAGCCTCCCAGTCCAGAAGTATGGCTTTTGTTAATTTTAAGGCTTTGTTCTTGACTCTCTCCAATTCTTAGATTCAGTCATGCCAAACTCCCAGTCACATATTGCAGCCATTTACTGAATGCTTATAAGCATTAACCCCAATACACTATACCCATACATAGAAATGCAAAAACTCTGCTCGATAACAACTGCGAAATCGGTGCTGATCAAGAAAACTCAAAATGTGTTATTTTCCCACACGGATGTTTTTGCATAGTATTACAGAAATGCTACCCTTTCTGCATTTTACTCTTTTATGGCTTAAATCAAGAACAGAATGCCAGACGTATTCACTGTACAAAGCAATTTTTCTTAGATCTAGAAAGAAGTTGTGGTGGCACATGCTGTTTAGTGACCCAATCTAAGAACTACAAGATTTGCTGACAAGGTTTGCTGGCTGTTAGATCTGGTTCTGCTTGACTCCAGGATCATGAATATCTCCTTTTTGATTATGTTTCCTAAAAATGTCTTTTACTAGAAAGAAGACAAAGCAGACCATCCACATAAGCAGAGGACATCTCATGGCAAAGCCACCAATGACAAATCTAGTAGCTAATTACAATGAGTAGAAGGAGAAAATGGTGCCATGAATGCTAGCAGAATTCATAAAGTTAGTAAAATACAATGTATGTACAAAATCATAGTTTAGTTTCTGGCTATCTGCTGTGTTCAAGCTAAGCAAAATTCAAAGCAGCATCTTCAGGAGGTACCTTGTGAAGACAAGTGTTCTGTGTTGAAGATAAACTTACAACTGTTTATTTTATTTAATTAACATCTTATTTGTTCTACTATGTTAAAAGGCTGATATGCATATAAATTGAATCTTTGGATAAATAGCACTATTAATATTATATTGCAAAAGAAGAAGGAAAGATGTGAGCACTGGACTGTCTTCAATCAAACTGAATTGAATCACAGAAATATCCTGTAATTTACATAACGGGCATGTTGGTAGTCAGATGAGATGGTGACAAACAAAAGCTATTAGGGTTAAAAAGGGGTAAAAGTGTATATGACATAAAATTACAGAATGTGTAAGATTGGAAGGAACCATAGTGAGTCATCATCTGTTCCAACCCCTTTGTTGAAGCAGGGTCATCCTAGAGCACATTGCACAGGATTGCATCCAGATGGTTCTTGAGTATCTCCAGTGAGGGAGACCCCACAACCTCTCTGGGCAATCTGTTCCAGCGCATGGGCACCCACACAGTAAAGAAGGAATGATTCCTGAGGCACACTTTCTTCCCTCTGTACTAACCTACCTCTGTCTGAAAAAGCAGAGCTTCACTCCCCATCCCCGGGCAGTGTGCACAGGCTGCTTCACCCATTCTTTCCTCCCTGGCAGCTGCTCTGGCTGCTCCTCATGAATCAAGCCATGTTCTCCTTCATTGGGGTACCAATGGGAAGATTCCATGCTTCCCTCTTTCCCTTCCTGGTGCCCCTACAAGGCGGGGAGCACTGGGTGCTACAGGAGACTTGCATCCCTCTCATACACACACACGCGCACACATAAATATGAACCATTATGTCTATATAGCTAATCAAAGTGTGAAAAATACAAAAGAAAAAAGAAAACCATTTAGAGTCATCTCTTTAGTGTTTATATGTGTGATATCGAGGACAAATATTTGGATTTCACGTGCGGAGATTCGGCCCCACATAAGTCAGACCTGCATTTTTTGCAGTGTGGAGAAGTACAGTTAAAACTGTGAAGCCAGTTAAAAGCACATTATTGTCAATAGCATGATCCTGTAACTAACAGTATTTTTCTTCTTCTTTCCTTTTAGTTTGAGCTATCGCAGTGTCAGCAACAATCAGGAGAAAATGCGAACATTTGTCTCAATAGCCCAGAACACATGGGAAATTTTTATATCTGAAAGGAAGCCTGGCTGGAAGTCTTGGATGAAGCTTTTTGGACTTTGCTTTGCAGTTGGCTTCCTCTCCAGCTTTCTTTTTTTCCTTGGCATGCACTTCTCCCTGGCACACCACTCTTTGGGTCCCTTACTGATTTCTGGATTCATCTGGATCTTGTTTTCTATCATGCTCTTCTGTTTCAAGCACCTGCGCTGTTTTAGTGTCCTGTTCCTTTTTTCCTGTGGACTGAAAAATGGCAGGAACACTCTTATTACTGCTGGCACAGGTGTCATGGTGGCCAACAACATCCAAAATATTTTTCACAACCTAAAGGTTCTGGCAGACACCATAACCTGTCATTTGAAGCATGAGCAATTTGCCTTGATAAAATATTATGTTGAGGCAGTGAAATGGATTTACGAGTCAGCCAAGCTTTCCACTGTACTACCTAAAGATATAGTGATCTTAAAGCATGAATTCACACCATCTTATTCGATTTCAGATGATGCATTAAAACAAGAGCTAAATGACACAAAGCAAGAAATCCAGAGAGTTGCTAACCAGATATATTTTATGCTGACTATACTACCCTACATAGGCCAGAAAGTGTTGCCTGTCACTGGGATTTTTCTAGTTTCTTTTGGAACTGGCCTCTTTATCAAAAAATTTTTGGGTTCTCACAGTACCAAATTTAAAAATACTTATATCACAAAAGAGTTCATTGCATTTGATGAGCACCAAAAGCAACAGCAAAAACCATGTCTTTTGCCACTTAACAGAAAAGAAAGAAAAGATTATGTGACAATCCCATCTTTCTGCTTCACAAGAAAAGACAGGAAAAAAATGCTGTATTTTTTTCTCCCTGTAATTATTCATCTTTGCATCTGGCTTCTGTTTGCTGCAGTAGACTATTTGTTTTATTGGTTAATTATTTCTGTGAATAAATATCTCCAAGAAGTACCGGATCTAGAGATTCAACTCAGCCTCTCTCAGAATGTAAGTACTTATCAGTACTGTACATTTCTTAGTTTAGTGTTGAAAAATTTCCCTTCATCTTCAGCAGCTGCAAGAGCAGAATATAGCCAATGAGCCATCAGTTCTTTCATGGAATATCATTCATTTCAAAAAGGGACATTGCCGTTACAGATACATATGTTGGATGGAACCAGACAGTTTTCTGCACTTTCCAGAGCACCATCAATTTTCTAGAGAATGGTAAATATTAGAAGGACTTTCCTTCTTCCATTTATATATATGAAGAAAACCAGAAGCTTAAAATGGGACACTCGCAATGCTGACATTTGTGAAGCACCACTTTTATAGTCAAAACTCACTGTGACACTGATGCAATGGATGCCTACCTTTCTTTAGCTGAGTAGTGTGAGGAACTAGTCAGTTGTATGTGTGGTGCATGCACACAAAATAATAGCACATTACTGGAATCTCAAGGTTCTTCTAGCAGGAGCAGCAGTGGCATAGAGAACCATAGAGTAATTAGGTTGTAAGGTAAGTCTGGAGGCCATCTAGACCAACCTCTTGCTCAAAACAAGGACAATTTCAGAGGCAGATCAGGTTGCTCAGGGTCTTGTCTGAATGCTTCTAAAGGTGGAGATTCCGCCACTGGAATGTGTGACCCATGTGGTGCTTTTAGTGCAAAGAAAAGCTGTCCAGTTCGATAGCTTTCAAGATCAGGTTTAAAACACTTTCTGAAAGTATATAACCCTTTGATACTTTCAAGATAAAAAGGCTTCAAGGAAATGCTTGACTGTTAGTACAGTATGGTATATGCTCTTTCTTCTATAATTTTTTCTTAGCATTTTCGGTTACTTCTTAAATCTCATAATAATGAGCATTCATTCCCATTTTTCTCCATCCCCTAAAAATTAATCAGTTTCACAGAGTAAGATTATTAAGGTGAACAATGCAATAAGTGCATTACTTGAAATCACAAGCATACAGAACAGGACGTACAATATTTGGCAGAGAGATTCTTTGTCACTTTTCCATATGTAACATATTGAACCTCTGAGCTTCTTCAGCCAGGCCACATTTTCTATGACACACTGCTAAACCACTGCAGGTTCAGCTTAGACAGTGTTGTGGCAGATTGGCTGTCCCAGTGTGTCATGGGATGTTCATCTGGTTGGGACTGTGTCAGGAAGGGGAGAGGGGATATAGTGCACAGCATCCTTGAGGAAGGAGAGCACTTCCAGCAAATGTGAGCTACAAATGAAACCAGCTGGAATGAAGTCAAGCTGCTGGTGAAATTCTGTCAATATTTTGTATTGTATATCAAAATATCAAACTCTTCCATGGGATGAAAATTAAATTATTGACTAGTTTTACCTTAGCAAAGAACAGAAAAATTTGATATCTGTATGGCAGTCATAAGCCAAATGTTCACAGATTGTTTCAGTGAAAAAACATCTTTCCTAGGGGATGGAGGCCATGAACTTCTAATTATTACCTTTCTAATTGTTACCTGAACCTTCTTTAAGGAAGGTAGATGTAAAAGCCATTGGATTCACTGTAACTGTGCAATCCGCACACATATAACAAATCAGATCCATCCTGCAGATTTCAGATTCTTGTGCAAAAGCAAAGACGATTTAATCATCTGGTCAGTCTGTCTAATGTGAAATATGTTGAGGAGACTGATTGTTACATGTGCTAAGGGAGTTTTATACTTCTTGTGAACCCTACTGCTGCACAGCAGTTGTGATCTAACATCAGTAGCCCAGCTTGTGATATGGTTCTGGTCCCCTGGGGGTCCTTGAGAGAGTAAGGGTTCAGAAGAGCTAGCTGATATTAAAAAATCACCTACTCCAATCTCAAGAATTATTCATCCCAACTAAATCAAGCAAAGGCAGTGGGATGCCAGCATGGGTGAGCAAGGAGCTCCTGAAAAAAGCTCAAACATTAAAAAAGAAGCATAGAGGAGGTGAAAGAAGGGACAGCTGTTCCAGGAGGAATATAGATACACTTTCTATTGCAGAAGGATGGGGGCAGGAGAGACAAAGCTCACCTGGAGCTGAATCAGGTGAGGCAGGTGAAAGGCAGCACAGAGGGCTTCTACAGGTCCATTAGCAGCAAAAGAAAGACATGGGGAAATGTAGGTCCACTGTGAATAGCAGGAGGAGTCCTGATGGCAATAAAAGACACAGAAAAGCCTAAGGTACTGAATGTCATCTTCAGTTCTTCCTTTACTTGAAATCCCAGGCCCTTGAGATAAGAGCAAATCTGGAGCAAGGAAGACTTACCCTTGGCTGAGAAGGATCAGGTTAGGGAGCATTTAACCAAGTAAATCCATGGGACGTGATGGGAAACACCCATGGGTGCTGAGGATGCTGGATGATATCACTGTGAGACCACTCTTGATTGTCTTTGAAATGTCATGGGGCCTGAGAAAGGTTCCTGAAAAGTGGAAGAAAGCAAATGTTATTCCCATCTTCAGCAAGAGGAAGAAGGAGGATTCAGGAAACTACAACTGGGTCAGCCTCACCTTGATCCCTGGGAAGGTAACAGAGAATATAATCGTGGAAGCTATTTGCATACACATGAAGGTCAGGGAACATATTAAGAGTATTAAGAATGGATTTATAAAGGCTAAATCTTCTTGACCAATCTAACAACCTATGATACAAACACTGGGTTGCTGGATGAAGGGAGAACAGTGGATGCTGACTGTGCATTTATGAAGTTTTCCTGTGCTGGAACACTGGAAGATAACATCCTTATTGACAAACTGATGAAGTGTGGGATAGGTAAATGGAGAGTGACGTGAACTGAAAATTGGCTGACCTGTTGGACTCAAAAGGTTCTGACTAGTGGTACAAAGTCACTTCTGATGTCCTCCAGGAGTAGACACGGGATCCTGTGTTGTTTAACCTCTTCATTAAAGGTCTGCACAGAGGAACAGATTGTAGCCACACAAGCCTGCAGACAATATAAAACTGGGAAGAGTGTCTGAAACACCAGTGGATTGTGCTGTCATTCAGGGTGACTTGAAAAGGCTATAGAATTGGGCCAAGAGGAACGTCACAATGTTCAGCAAAGCAACATGCCATGTCTTACAGTCCTGAGAGAGAAATAACTCCATGCACTATACATATTGGGGACTAACTGGCTAGGAGACGGCCTTGCAGAAAAAGGCCCTGAAAGTTCTGGTGGACACCAAGTTGACCACAAGTCTGCAATGTGCCCTTATGGCAAAGAAAGTACTGCCTTGGGCTGCATTGGGTAGAGCATTGCCAGCAAGCTCTGGGAGGTGATCCTTCCCTGCTGCTTAGCACTGGTGAGACCCAGTAAAACAGGGGCATATACTGGAGTGAGAAGTCAAAGAAAGGGTCAAAAAGATGATTAAAGGACTGAAGTATCTGTCAGATGAGTTGAGGCTGGGGCTGCTCAGTCTGAAGGAGAGGTGGCTCAGGGAGATCACAGTGTACAAAAATATCTGATGGGGGGTTGGGTGTAAGAAAGAGGAGTCAGACTATGGAAGAATTTCCTCACTGAAAGAGTTGTCAAGAACTGGACCAGGCTGCCCAGGGAAGTAATGGAGTCACCATCCGTTCAAGAAACAACTTGATGTGACATTTAGTGCTATGGTCTAGTTGATATGCTGGTGTTCGGTCACGTTGGACTCAGTGATCTTGGAGGTCTTTTCCAACCTTAATGATTCTATGATTCTGTGACCCTTCTCATGTGCTGGGAGAAGAGGAAATTGGCAGAAAATAAAGGAAATAATTTTTTTATTTACTCTTCAGGTGATCAAACAATAGAACAAGTTTCTGAGTCACGGTGAGAAGGCTCTGTCCCTGGAGATATTAAAAACCCAATTGAGTACAACCCTAAGCAACCAGTTGTAACCTCACTATTCACTGTGTACTGCTATGTGTGGTTTTGCCTGTGTTTCTATCCTTCGTACCTTGAGGGTAGCCTCTTATCATGGCCTGCCTTGGGTCTGACCCCAGACGGGGCAAAGAAGGAGTTTAGTCCCACTACCCATGGACAGAAGGCCTGAGCCTGACCATGTCATGCGTCTTGTACTATGAATTTGCTCTCTTTGTGTTCACTGTTCACTCCTGTGGAAAGCTGGTTGACTCCCCAAAACCAGAAAATGATGCTATCATCAGACTTTTTCTAGTTCCCCAAGGAAGGCTAGTTACATTAAAATGTAAAATTCAGTCTCAACAGATTTGTCATAACAAGCCTCAGGGCTGCTGATCTCAGGGAGTCAAGGAAGCTGGGTCAGCAGGACAGACTGAACAACCTCCTGAGATGTTTATTAATTAGCATGAACAACAACCAGGGGTACCAGTTCTTTGTGCACTGGTACCCCTCTTTCATATTGAGTCCCTAATGCAATTGGTTCAGTTTAGGAATAAAAGGTACTGAGATAGATTCAAACAGGGTAATATTCAGGAAAGTCTAACAGGCTGAAAATGGGTAGCATGCTTTGGGAACCTTATTTTTCCAATGAGCATCTAGCAGAAGTGCCTGGCCTCTGTAGAGTGATTAGAAGAGCTACAAGGCAGAGCTACACATCTCCCTGAGATGGTCAGAAAAGAGGGCCGGGTGACTCAGTGTCCCAGCAGTGTTCCTACAGGCAGAACAGAAAGTTGCCTGCTGGTATGAAATACTGGTCCCAGCAGCATATCTAATTTACTCTCTCTCATTCAGCATTTCAGTCCACAAGCAGTGAAAGTCATCAGGTCTTCTAAGCAAAGGTGCCTACTGGAGGAAGAGAGGTGGCTTTGTTTGCCTGATAACCTTGTGGTCAGAGCACCTGCCTGGGTTGGTGTGGAAACGCTGCTGATCACATGCTGAGACACAACCAAAGGGATGGTAACACTCTGCTCTGCAGTTTTACCCTGGAGGAAGGACCCTCCAGCAGAGGATCTGAGCAGAGTCGTGAGAGTCGGAAAATATTAAACCATTATAACCAGATTAGTTAAATATTTCTCTATCAGAGCCACTGAGAAGATAAGTTCTTAATAGTCCAAAATATGTGACAGTCTCCCAAGAGAAATGGTGAAAATACAGACTGAAACATTTCTAAATAGCTAATAAATATACTGTTATGAGCACACCATATACAGATGCTAGATGGACTAGATGACTTATGTTCCTTTGTAAATCTGAATGTCCAGTAGCAGAAATATTAAGGAAGGAGGCAATCAGTACCATAATCAACTTTTTTTCCCCCTTTTCTTGTGCAGAGGAATGAGATTATTATTCATATCGCAAAGCATATTGCAAAGACTGATTCTTTCAAGATCCCTTTGTTTAAGCGTGACTGCATCCCTCATCCAGAGCTTGCTCTCTCCACGGCATGGATCCACCTCGGGGTCATCATCTTCTTCTTAATAACTTTTGGATTATTCTCTGGCCTCCTGACCCAACTTAAAATACTCGTGTCAACTTCTTTTTATCCTGATGCTGCGATGAAACGGATACATCATTTGCATGCAAAATTACTCAAGAAAAGAGCAAAGGTACAAGAGAAAACTGTGAAGAACATGTTTGCTAGAAGGGTAAGCCATCAGCTCTAGGGAAAAAATAAATCTTTCTCTTGCAGGGTGGTAGCCAGATCCAGGAAATACTTAAACACTTGTTAACTTCAGTTATTTATTAGCACATAATTGACTTTCCCCAGTGGTGTCCTGCTCAGGGGGCAGAGACAAGTTACCTAATACTGAGATTAGGTCATCTAATTGTTTTGTTCTGTCCTTCAACACGCATGCCTCAGACATGACATCAGTACACGTAAATGACTGTGTGCTGGTAAGAAAATACTTCTCAGTTTCAGAGTTCTCCAGAGAAGAAACTTCATTTTCATGAACATATGAAAAGCACAAAGAGTATTCCTGTGACACAGATAGCAAGTGTTAGGCAGTAAGAGCAGCCTCTAAATGTTGAGAAAGATGTTCACTTAATGCTTAGAAAAACAGAAGGTGATATGTTTCTTTTTAAAACACAGTATGATTGCAAATACCATTAGAAAACAGAACTTTTCTGCCTGCAAGAACATTTATCTTGTATCTATATGTATATATACACTAATGGAAATAACAAACACACATGTTTACCTATGGCAAGTCCAGATAGATAGCTGCAGATACATATAGTTTGTTTAGGTTTTGTTTTTTTACAGCCTTCAATACTGACTATACAAGATATTAGTGTTTGGGTGATCTCTAACTCAGTAACACTATGATCATATTTCTTTCTTTTCAGGTCAGTTTTTGGTTTCCAATACTCAAAGCAACAGAGGCAGTGAGGAAGAAAGAAAGGAGTGTGGCAAAATGACAACATGGTGTGAAAAAGACCGAGTGAATCTTTGGATATGGCTGAAATGCTTTAGCTCCACAGGGACGTGCATTTTGCACCATCTTTCCTATGGAATGTCAATTTGAAAATGTAAAAATATCAAACTCAAAGGCTGAGCATCAGTATTTTTGAAAAGTGTTAAAAAGAAGCCATTGTAGATACTGTGCAGTTCATCACAGATTGCTCTGGATTGCATTAACACTCATTTTTCAACCTTGGGTCTGCATTATCTAGTACTTTACGAATTCATGGAGAATCTGTTCTTCTATCTAAAAGCAATCAAACAGTTTGGACCTTTTAGAACTACAGCACAAACCTCTTTGGGTTGAGCTAACAGAAGATGTAATGACAGCAGCAGGTTTGTCTTCTTTACTTTGCCAGAGACTGAAGATAGAAGACACAGCAGAGGCTATTTCCTTCTGGCATGGACAAGAACCAGGCCTTAGGTGTTTCTAGTAATTTCTATCTATTTCTCAACCCTCAACTGCCACAAATCCTTCAGCCTGGTTCTTTGCCATCCCTAGCTCCCAGTCTCCTACCTAGTCTCCTACCCAGAATTCCTCACTTGGTCTTAGTCTCCTACTTCCACATATCCATAGACTATATCACTAATCCAGATTGTACCATGTCTTTGATGATCATGAGAGAGGTGATGTAACATGCAGAAGCAAGAATGCTCACTCATGAGAGCTAGAATACAGAGGAATCAGGTGGTGTGGGTGCAGATGAGATGGCTTTGAAGTGTAGGAGATATAAGCAAAGGTGAATGTTTCGAATCTTGAAATCTGAGGAAGCTTGCATAAGTGGCAAAAATGGGCTTAATTACATTGCCTAAGTCACTATTGCCTTCAGTGAAATAAAACTGAGCCAATACTGAAGTGCAATACTCAGTGCTTCACCTCTTCAACTGACATTGGTGATGTGACCTTCATATGACACAGGAGCAAATATAAAAACCCTAAAGACACAGGAACGACTGACAAAGTACTAGAGATTTAATGTAGAGCTAAATTTAACATAGAGCTAAAAATCTATCCAGCAGGCAGTGTACTCTTGATTTTCAGCCACAGCCAGCTCCTTTTTTTAGGTTGCATAACAGGAAATTCTACTCTGTTCCTCTATAATACATGCGTGGTGGCAGGACAGCCATTGATCAATGTCTCTGTTATCTGAATGAATAAAGACTGACTTAAAACTGTCTAGCAAGCGTCAGAAGTTATTTTCCACCTAAAAAACTGAAAAACACCAAGTCTGTTTTTCTTTGGGCCTTCCAAAGCTTCACTCTTCCATGGACACAGGCGGTTCAGGTTGCTGGTGTGACAACAGTTTGTCTCTAGAAAATGGTGCTCAATCAAAGCATTACTGAGGGTTGTGCTGAATGTCTCCGAGAGGCTTGAGTATATCCTTTTTTGCTGAAGTGGGACAGCCCTGGATAGTAGCAGGGTGTCTGTTTGTATCTCAGGTACTACTGTCAAGGACCAGTAGCAAGAAGCATTCTGGTGAAAGAGAAGCAATTAGAAGGTTGCTCTAAATTTGGATTTACAGGCTAGCTATCCAGGTACTATTGACAAGAGGATACACTCTTGTCATTGCAGATTAAAGGGGAAGAGTTAAATGTCAGCAGGAACTGAGCATTTTAGTCAGAGTTCGGGCAAGTTCATTGCTGGCAGGAGTTAGATGTGCTCCTTTCAGTCCCAAAGGACAGACTGGTGAGAAGCCCAAATCTCCTACTGAACACTGTGCCCAAAGGTTGGGGCAAGTCTGAATAAAAGCACTACTGCAAAACACCACCTGCTTCACATGGCATCAGGAGGCAAAATTTTTTGGGAGTCTCTTGCCTTTCCTGTTTGATGGTGTTGCCACCCAGCATATCTTTTCTCTCTATTGTTCTGCAAGGAGCAATCAAAAGCTTTACAGCCCATGAGAATGGGTTTATCAAAATGACTCAGATAACGGTCAATAGTTGGGAGAGATGCCTAAATCTGTCAGGACTTTGAGTCTTGGAGAATACTCTCAGGACAGTGCCATGTCTGCACTTTTTGTTTACTTAAGGAAATTCAGCCTACTATGAAGAAGAGCCTTGCAGGATCACAGAACAATGTTGTGTGAATTCTGTGGCTCCCACCACTACCTGACAGGGCAGTTAACTAAGTACTGCTTAGTTTGCCCTTCAAATTGGCAAGACTCATGACAGTGACAAAAGACAATCCTTCTTGGTAAGCTAATTGTAATTCTGTACAATATGTTCAGTTCTGGTAAACATTTTACCTAGATGATTGATCACACTACAAGTGATAGAAGACATGGAAAAACCCAAGCTTTTTCTTGGTCTTAGTCTTTACAGGTAGTACTGGTTTTTAGCCATACCAGGCCCCTCAGACCAGAGGGAAAGGCTGGAGCAAGGAAGACTTACTCCCCATGAAGGATGATATGGCTAGAGAGCAATTAAACAAACAGCTCATACTTAAATCCATACGACATGATTGGAGGTACCCATGGGTGTTGAGGGTGCTAGATGATGTCACTGTGAGGCAACTCTCAATTATCTGTAAAAGGTCATGGTGATCAGGAGAGGTTACTGAGGACTGGAAGAAAGCAAATGACCCTCCCACCTTCTAGCTGGGCAAGAAGGAGGATCTTCTAACTAACAGGTTTGTCAGCCTCATCTCAATCTGTGGGAAGGTGATGGAGCAATTTCCCCTGGAAGCTATTTCCAAACATAAGGGCCAGTAAATTGACAGGTATATCACTGAAACACAAGAAAAACGTTTTTACTGTGAGGGTGGTCAAACGCAGGAACAGGATGCCCAGAGAGGTAATGGAATCTCCATCCTTGGAGATACTCAAAGACATGGCTTTGAGTAACTCAGAGGAGCAGGGCTGGAGCAAATATCTCTAGAGGTGTCTGACAGCTGCAGCCATTCTGTGATTTAGTAACTTTTACGCAAAGCTTTGCAGATAAAATATTGGACATTCACAGCAAAACCTTGTTTTAATTTGTGAATATGCTGTGCCAGCAGCAAGGAGCCACCGGACAAATATTGTTACCATTACACTCATACTAGAGTCACATACTTGAGTGGACTAATGCACTCTGTTTGTGTGACCATGCATGTGCATATCTGTGTGCCGGAGATGAGCTGAATGGCAGACAAAGGAGATAAATTTGCTCTTCCCCATCTCCCTCAACCTGGATTATCGGGGAAAGTGGCATATTCTGCACTTTTTTTTTTTTTTAATTCTAAATCAAATTCACCTTCTATGTCTCAAAGACATTGAGTTTTATCTCAGTGGTAGGAAAATTCTTACCCTTACCTACAGTACTAGTCCTATTTCTTCAGCTGCCCAGTGGTCCTCTTTAGTTGTACAGATGAAAAGGTAGGTCTGTCTCTCCCTTGGCATTACACAGAGACTCTGCAGACCTTATTGGCTTTTTGTTTTCTCCCATATTTTTCTGTCTCATGAGCAGGGGAAGTCTGGGGATTTGTTTATCTTCAGCTGTCTCCTCTGCAAGTTGTTCAGCTATTTCTTTGGCCTCTCTGTTTACCATAACCCTCAACCTCAGGATTACATTGTTCCTTTTTCTTAAAAAAAAAAAAAAGTCTACGAGTTACAAAAAACCCCCAGCATTCCATTCACAATTATTTCTGTTCCTCTTCTTGTCTACCATCTCCTCAGATTTCTTACATTTTATTTTGGCTCTTTTCCTCTGTCTTTGTCATTCATGGTCTTCTTTCCTCTTTTAGTATCTTTTCTTCAGGTCCAATAGAAAATTATTCTCCATACATAAAAGCATGTATTTCTTTTCTTTCTGCTGAAATAAAGGTGCAGTTGAAATTAGGGACTTTATTTATTCATTTGTTTGTATAATAGAAATTTTTAATATCTTTCATGTTACTGGACATTTTCTCTAAATGCCTCTGTAAAAGTTGTCAGAAATGCGCTCTGCACTCAGAAAGTCTGAGGAGAAGTCTGAATTTGGGTTTTGACTCATTCCTCTCTCTCCTTCCCTCGGTTCACAGCAGAGCTCAACTTCCTTTTTAAACGTCCTTCACTAGTGTAGAAGCTGTTTGATTTACTGTGAAAAATCCTCCAATTGGATCAAATCTAGTTTGTAAAATTAATGAAAGGCTGACCTAATTGTCTTGTGAAGATAATTCAGAGAGACATGTTAGTGCTCCTGACCCTTCTGGAGCACAATACAAACAAGGACATTTCCTTTCAGCAACCTTGTTTATGGAACTCTCCTTATCACCACTGCATACCCCCAAACCTGGCTGGCTTCACAGCCAAGCTAAAGGCTTCTTTTCTGTTGTTCTAGTTTTGTTGCAGCATTTTGTGAGAGCAGCTGGGTGTGTAAAGTCAGAGGATGCTGGATTTACAACTGCTTTCTCCCTGACTCCTGCTCTGTCAATATTATCACACTGACTCACTCTGTTTTCATCACAGTTTAAATAGCTCAGAGGTGCAATTAAAGAAGAAATGAATAAGCAAAGCCTTTCCTCTGTTCAGCTTTACATTGCAAAAGTGGAAAGTAAGGATGAAAGGATCACTCTCTGATGATCATGAAATAAAGCCTCAAAATAGGGATGTTATTGTCGACTTTAGGGGCACAGATTCCAAAACACGTAAACATGCTTCACGGGTGCTGCTGTGCATGAGAGCATCTCCTCGTTTCATACCTGATACATTGTACCTGCCCTGCCCTCCAGTGGCTCAGTACTGCCACATGTCCCAGTACCGCTGCTCTGCAGAGATCCATCCCCTCTACTTTAGGCTGAGGAGAGAAGCACTGCAGATGTAGCTGCACCACAGCCATGAGCTTTCACAGGCAGTGAACTGATAGCTAACAACTGGGCAATAAACACATGCTGCCTATATGAGGCTTTCTCTGGCAAATGATGAGGATGAAAGCAGTATTATGTGTGTAGGGATCAGATCTCCCAAATTCCTTTTCTGCTCCTTCCCCTGGAATCCACATCACCAGGGAGAATGGAGTACTAAAGATCCCAAATTTCTGTCTGGCAGCT